TGTGTGGGTGTTGATATATATATATATATATTTATTTTTTTTTTTTTTTTTGGGTGCATTACTTTTTTTGATTTGCTAAAAGGACCCATAAGAGCTCATAAGAGTTATATGTTTGTGATTCAGTCTACATTGGTTGTATTGCACATTTGTTTACAGCTGCTATTAGCATGTCTCAAATGTGTCTCCAGTGTCCACTTGTCATCTAGTTTTCTCAAGATTTTCTCTAAATTTAATGACTACACACTGTACATCACTTTAACAAGAGGCCTAAAAAGGCTTCACACATATACTGCATAACTGTCACTGCATGTTGACGACTTGAGCGTTAAATTGAGCATTTTTTAAGCTCTACCTATTCTGAAATTTTAAATCATTGTTTTTCTGCAGTACATGTCCTACTATGTTCTCTGGGGCACATCAGAACATAATAGGGTTTCATACAGTGTGGCCATATGCATCCTTGACTACATCCATATGTTGTTGGAGCAATTGAACCCCTTCTAGAGCTCAGTTTGGCTCTGTAAACAGTGTCTTCTTAATGTCTCTATGAGCCACATGGTTGCATTGGTTCTCTGGTGTGTTGTATCTGTGTAGGATGAGGGAACGGGCCAAGAAAGCAGCAGCTCAAAAGAAGGAAGATGAGGATGAGCACAAGAACCTGAAGGTTTGTCAGCTAACACCTATGCATTTATACACAAGCATAAATACAAATACATGGTCATAATTTTGTCATTGTTTTGTGTATGATACTAGTTAAAGATGGATCAGACAGAGAAGGAGCTGCACAGTCTGTCAGCAGAGTTCCAGAGTCTGAGAAGCTCGCTGGCCCAGAGAGACACACACGCCCTTCAGCTCCGAGACACCATCACCACCCTCACACACAAACTCAACAGCGCTCACAGGAAGGAGGTAACACTCCAGCAGTTTTCACACCCCAGCTTTCACCTTGGATGTCTAACGGGGCATACACAGGATGTAGTGTCTCAGAACAGAGACTTGACGCCATTTATCTGTGAACTGCATCTTATTTATAAGGGGGTCAAGGTTTGACTGGTTAGCATGGTCCAGACAGCCCCTGCTGGTAAATGTTGTAACTACACCATATGGGGGTAAAAAGCATGTCTTTCTGCTTTGACAGCCATTCAACTGTAGCCATGTATTCTGAAAAATATATATATTTTTTGCAATCAACATATGAATATTTCATTATATCATAGTGTGCACTACCATTCAGAAATTTGGGGTCGGTAAGTTTTTTTTAATGATTTTAAAATAAATATTTTACTCACCAAGGCTGCATTTATTTAATCAAAAACACAGTAAAATTACTATATTGTAATCATATTTTTACAATTTTAAATAACTGTTTTCTATTTGAATATATTCTAAAATAAGATTTTTTCCCCTGTGATGACAAAGCTGAATTTTCAGTAGTCATTATTTCAATCTTCATTTTAATGTATCCTTGCTGAATACAAGTATTAATTAACATTAGTGTTTTGCTAGGGATTTCATTTTTATGAATTTATTTTTATTAAATATCTTCAGCTGTATTTAACTTCTAAATGGTTCATCGCTGTAAATGCAGATGTGACACATTTGAACAATGTCTATATAGTCCAGCAAATAAAAAAATGGATCCAGATGGATGCTACAAGTCATGTATGCAAGTCCTCCTAACTGTATCTGGACTGACATCATCTTTTGAGCATGAGATGATTGTGTCTGTCATTGTTGAGCAGGCAGCCAATGAAGTGGCTTTGAGTGAACTCCGGAGTGTTCAAGAGCGTCTGAACATGAGTGAACGTTGTGTGGAGACTCTGAGGGGGGAGCTGAGAGACATGGTCGCTCAGAGGGACACCACACATGCCGAACTTCATCAGGCCCGTCTGCAGGCCGCACAGCTCACACTTCAGCTGGCAGATGCCAGTCTGGCTATGAGAGAGGGCAGGGCTAACTGGGCACAGGAGAAAGAGACCCTGCAGCAGAATGCAGAGGTATGTGTAGTAAAAATAATTTTTTTAAACCACAAAGGCAACTTTAAGACATGTTCTTTGAAGTAATTGCATGAATTGACAGATGGACAAAGTGCGTCTGGAACGTCTAAATGATGAGATTCAGCAGAAGGAGGAGATGTTGCAAGAGGCAAGGATGGAGAGAGAGAAAGCAGTGGTGGAGCTGGGACGAGAGAAAGACTGCAATCGGGTAAATACAAAAACTCTTTTAAAATCAAAGCAAGAAAGATTCTTCCTATATTTTTAAAATGATAAAAATACGGAAATAATATTTATATATATATATATATATATATATATATATATATATATACAGACAAAAAAAATAT